CCAGGGACCACACCACGTGCCCTGGTGCCACACGCCGTCATGCCTCGTGGGAAGAAGAGTAAGGTCCGGGCCCAGCAGAAACGACACAAGGCCCAAAGTGACGGCCAGGGTCTTGGGGGTGCTCAGGCCTCCCCAGGGCCCTCCTCTCTTGAGAGCAAAGGCAAATCCCAGAGTGCCTCTGCTGCCGGCAACCCACAGGCACCTGTGGCAGCCCCAGAACCCAGCACTCAGGGTGCAGCTCGTGCAGGGCCAAGAGCTAAGAAAGGTCAGCAGAACGGAGCCGAGGGTGCACCCTGCTCGCTGAAGGCCTCGTCCTCCGTGGAGTCCTCAGCCCAAGATCCTCTCAACAAGAAGGCCAGCGTGCTGATGCAGCTGGTGCTTCGCAAATACAGATCGGAAGAGCCCATCAGCAAGGGAGAGATGCTGAAGACCATCAACAAAACATACCGGGAGCACTTCCCTGAGATCCTGAAGCGAACCACTGAGCGCATGGAGCGGGCCTTTGGCCTGGAGCTGAAGGAGGAACACCCCAACGGGCAGTTCTATGTTCTCCAAAGCAAAGAACGTCATCCTGACGAAAGCACTCCCAGTGGCACCAGGCAGTTCCCCAGGTACAGGCTCCTGATGCCGCTCCTGGGCATGATCTTCCTGAACGGAGGCACCGCCACTGAGCTAGAGGTCTGGACTTTCCTGAATATGCTGAATGTCTAGGATGGGAGGCGGCACCACGTCTTTGGGGAGCCCAGGAGGCTGATCACCCACGATTTTGTACAGGACAAGTACCTGGAACACAGACTCTTGCCTGGCACCCAGCCTCCTCGCTACGAATTCCGCTGGGGTCCCAGAGCCTATGCCGAATCTGAAAAGAAGAAAATCATAGAGTTTGTGGCTCGGATGATGGGCACGACGCCCAGTGCCTTCATGGCCCAATATGCAGAGTTATTGAGAGAGGAGCAAGAGGAAGTCAAAATCAAAGACGCAGCCCAGGCTGTCTCCACTGCCCCAGGAAAGGCCAAGGCCCAGGAGGTTCAACCCTCCACTCCTAGGGAAGAAGGAGGGGCTACCACAGGGGAAGAAAAGAGCTGTTAACCTCAGCAAGGAGGGGCTGGATGGAGAGTACAGTGTGCTAACTTTTCTAAGTTCCTTTTCAACATGTATAACTAATAAGGTTAGCTTATTACAAGATGCTGTACATCACAAGGGAAGAAACTATTTTTCTCTCAAGTTTGATAAAAAGGTTCTACTTCATTCAGATATTAAGTTTAAAAATTACATGGGTCATAGGTTTTGTTGGCTTTTGTGGTTCATGAAATAAGTGGAAAAGTCTGACCTCTCTCTGTGTGATCCAGCATGAGAGTGTGTGATACTGGAACAGGTATCTTCCTGCAAAAGTGAGAGAATGTCATGAGAAATCCTTGGGATAACACTAGAGACAAACAATGACTCTAAGGTGAATAATTCCTGGTTTCCTGTGTGCTATTTAGTCTTTTTGTTGCTGATATAAAAGCTTTGTGCCTGTTTTTCAAGAATCGAGATAAATTAGATGGTGATAAAGCTTAGTCTTTGTTGCCTCTTTTGTTCTCTAATCATTTGTTCTCTATGGATGCTCAGGTTTAGACAGAGAAGACTCAGCTGCCCTCCTACCATAGTAGAGGCTGTGAGCAC